GAGCTGTTGCCAAACTCTTATCTTGTATATGTTGTCACCTCTAAGTAGGTGGCAATTTTTACTAACATTAGAGTTGTTGCAGCTTGTTACTTGCCTCTGAGGTGTAGGTTGGGGTTGGTGGGCACCAAGCTTTGGTGCTCTGGTGCACTTGGCACTCCTTGCAGCAGAAGGGAGAAGCTGGTGGCACTGGCAGATTCCTTTCAGACTTCACAATTAACATGTTATTGCCTGGAAACACAAGAGGCTTATGAATTAGAGCTCTGAAAGTCATGAGTCCCTAAAGTAAGGATTGATAATTGTACCATTTTGTTGTTCTTAGCTCCGTTATTGTGAGCAGGCACAGCTTCAGGAAGGTGTTCAGGCAAAGCTGCTGCACCTTTTGCTCCTCAGATATAAGATGTGATTTAAAAATCTGTTAAGAACAGGCAGGAGCTATAAATCTGAGTGTACACTAGTATGGTTATTCTTTTAATTCAGGCAAATACTAAGTAAAAAAACTCCACAGAGGTTTTGTAGCTGTTCTGTTGCCAGCTTCATTGCTATTTTTCACGTGCTTCTATAGTTTCATCTTCTAGGCACCTGTCTGACTATGTTTTGGTTTAGCAGCTGGGGGAGAGGCCTGCAGTAAGGCTTTTGGCATAGAGATGAAAACTGATAGCACTTACTTTGTAGCAGATACTCCCTGATACATGGGTTTAACCATGGAAAGTTTATAAATTAATTATAATATATGTCCTCTGGATTCCCAGGCATGATCAACTTATTTATTGCAAAAGAAATTAGTTCTTATATAATAAAAATTAGAAGTATCAGTTCAGCTACTGCACCTAACCTGTACTTCTGCAGCAGAACTTTAAGTTGATATCATGGAGTTTGTGTCTGATTGTTGTTGTGTAAAAGAAAGTTGTACTTCAGAAATCTTAAAGGGTGTCTTTTCACAGGAGTGGGTGTTTCTCTGGCTGTTGTCACAGAGCCATTGGTACCACTAACTCAGTTTAATATCTTGTTTAGATTTCTGCCTTTTAGAATGTTTTGAATTTGAGTTTTTAATGTTTTTACAAAATACTTTGTGTGTGGTGGTACAGAGTACTTTTTTAATTCTCTGGAAAAACAAACTGCACCCTTGGGAGTTCTGCTTTGTGCTCTTGGTGAGAGTGCAGCTCTGTGTGCTGGGGGGTGTTCCAGGCTCTGCGTGTGGCAGTCTTCTGAGCAGCTGTGCTTGGAAGCCTTCTCTGTCATCTTCAGTGACTGTGGTGCTAAAATGAGCAAAATCTTTCTTGGCTTAGTATCTTTGTACATGTTTCCCCCTCTTCTGCTTAATGAAGTAATAATACTAAATTTATAATAATGCCCTTGGACTTTCCTTCTTCCCTTTAGATCTGAACCACAGTGGTCTAGGATCCCATTATGAAAATTCTCACTGGGGACCAGTCTCTTCAAATAGTGACTCCAGCACAAACTGGGATAAAGTTATTGTAGACGGCTCTGACAAAGAAGCATGGCCATCAATCACTGGCAGTGACCCAGAGCTGACATCAGAATGTATGGACACTGACTCTGCCTCTAGCTCTGGGTCAGAGAGAAACCTCGTTATAATGGCTTCAGGGAGCACAGGTGGTGACAATGATGGCATTCGAAATGGCATTGGACATGGTTCTCAGAATAAGTTTGTGGTTGGTAGCAACAGCAATAATGTGGGCAATGGAAGTATTAATGGGCCATGGGGTTTATCCCATGGAACCATAATAAGCACATGTCAAGTTTCTGTGGATGCTCCTGACAGCAAATCTGAAAGTAGCAACAATAGAATGAATGCTTGGGGCACCATAAACTCTTCATCAAATGGAGGGTTAAATCCAAGCACTTTGAATTCAAATGGCAACCATGGTGCCTGGCCTGTATTGGAGAACAATGGACATGCCCTGAAAGGGTCTGTAGGGAGTGGTAATCCTGGCACAAATATTCCGTGCAGTACCATAGGTCAGATGTCGAATAGTCAGAGTATTAACTCAAAAGTGGGTGGTTCAGCCCATGGTTCCTGGGGAAGCCTTCAGGAAAATTGTGATTCTGAAGTAAATGGTACAAGGAAGGTTTCATTCAGTGGGCAACCTCAAAACCTTAACACTGAAATGAATGGACCAAATAACACTACTAACTTTATGACCTCTAGTTTACCAAACTCTGCTGGTTCAGTGCAGATCAACGAACTGCCTAATAATACAGGGCATGGGGCCTGGCGTGTGAGCACAATGAATCATTCTCAGATTCAGGCCTCTCCAGTTACAAATGGCACTTCCATTTCTCATCTTAGCAATGGTGAGGCGAAAAATGGTGGCTCTTATGGTACTACATGGGGTGCCTATGGTTCTAATTACTCTGGAGACAAATGTTCAGGCCCAAACAGCCAAGCTAATGGTGACACTGTGAATGCAACTCTAATGCAGCCAGGCATTAGTGGGTCTGGCAGCACTAATTTTCAAATCAACGGGAATAAAGGAGGAGGGGTGTGGGAGGCAGGGACAGTCAACTCCCAGAACATGCCATGGGGAAGTGGAAATGGTGCAAGTGCTGGCGGGAGCCGGAGAGGATGGGGCAACCCAGCACAAAACACTGGCACTAGCATTTCAAACGGGGAATGGAGTAAACTGCCTAGTAATCAGCATTCCAATGAAAGTGTGAATGGAAACAGCAGGAAGTTTACAAAGGGATGGAAGTCTACTGAGGAGGATGACCTTAACAGCCAGAGTTCTGCTGCTTCTCAGATGACAGAGCAGAGCAGCACCTGGGCCAAACCAGGTATGGGGGACAGTGAAGGGAGTTCAGAGGGCACTGGATGCCATGACGACCGAGCAACCACGGAAGGACAGAGTCGAGAGAGGAGGAAAGTTGACCAGCATGCATTACTCCAAAGCATAGTGAACAGAACTGACTTAGATCCACGCGTCCTTTCCAACTCGGGTTGGGGACAGACTCCAATCAAACAGAACACTGCCTGGGATACCGAAACATCACCGAGGGGTGAAAGAAAAACTGACAATGGGACAGAGGCCTGGGGAGGCTCTGTGACACAGACTTCCAGCTCAGGGGGGTGTGTGGATAGACCTAGCCCTAATAATAATGATACCTCATCTGTATCAGGGTGGGGAGATCCAAAGTCTGCTACAAGGTGGGGAGACTCCAAAGGGTCAAACAGCCAAGGGGGGTGGGAAGAAGATTCTGCTGCTACAGTAATGGTCAAGAGCAATCAATCATGGGGAAGTGGCAAAGAAGAAAAGTCATCTTGGAATGATGCACAGAAGATCAAACAGGGATGGGTAGATGGACAAAAGGCCAGCCAGGGTTGGGCAGTTCCTGCCAGTGAAAGCTGGGGCGAAAATTCAAGAAATAACCATTGGGGTGAGGCTAAGAAATCCAGTTCAGGAGGTAGCGACAGTGACAGATCAGTATCTGGTTGGAATGAGCCAGGTAAATCAAATTCTGTTACTTGGGGAGGTAATAATACCAACCCAAATAACTCTTCGGGATGGGATGAGCCTGCAAAGTCCAATCAGAACCAAGGCTGGGGAGACCCTCCTAAATCCAATCAGCCTCAAGGCTGGGGGGAGTCATCAAAGCCAATCAACTCTCCAGAATGGAACAAGCAAGATGTTGGCTCTTGGGGAGCACCCTCTGCCACAAACAAACCCCCAGGGTCGGGCTGGCTGGGTGGGCCAATGCCAGCACCAGCCAAGGAGGAAGAACCCACTGGGTGGGAGGAGCCATCCCCTGAGTCAATACGCCGCAAAATGGAGATTGATGATGGAACTTCTGCTTGGGGTGATCCAAGCAAATACAACTACAAAAATGTGAATATGTGGAATAAAAATGTCCCAAACAGTAGCAGCAGTTCAGACCAGCAAGCACAGGTACATCAGCAGCTACTGTCTTCAAGTGCCATGTCTAGCAAGGAGAGCAGTTCGGGTTCTGGTAAGACTTGGTTTTATGCAAATTCATTTTTTCTGTTAATTGTAGAACAGTTCTTTTGTTCTTGATTCATATAACAGTATTTTAGTTTCCAAGAGGGGAGGGGAAGGTGCCAATGAAGTGCTGCTTCTAGTTGTTAAATAAACCAACAGTAACAGCAGTGCTCATAGATGTTTGATGTTTTTACACAGATTGGAAGATCTGTTCTAGCTTTAAATAGCTTGAGTAATAAAGACTAGAGAACTGCTGGAATTTTGGAGTCTGGGAACACAGAAAATATTTAAAATAGTGTCTGAGGAATTAAAGTATCTTTCTTCATTTGTTTCTGAAACAGTCAAAACTTAACTGTTGCCAAAGAGGCTTCCAAAAAAGAGTTGAACAGGTGCAGAACAGAATGATGGGTGATGGGTTTATATGGACTCAAGATCAGACTTTCTGATCTTGTAGTTTTGGGAGCAGTGAATAATGGTACTTGTAGATAAGTTTGTGTAGTGTTCATGAATGTTCTGTGTTTGGTCTCTCAGCTGCAAAGAGGAGTAGCTTAAATACAATGAGCAGCACTTAGGAACTTAATGTCTTAGAAATTTCTATTATCAAAGTATAATCCTCAACATATGAAATTTGTATTTTTGTGTTTTGGGTTTTTTTCTCCATGGAGCAGCTTGCAGTTGTAGTAATGACCTTCACATAAATGTGAATGTGTACCAGAATGGTTTATATTGTATGTTATGGATCTAGAAAAGGCAAAACACTTGAGTATCTTTAAATAGCTTTTAAAATCCTGTTTAAAAACCACACCAGTAACTCATACTGCTTTAAAAAGGTTGGGGAGAGCCTTCTACTCCAGCCACTACTGTAGATAATGGAACTTCAGCGTGGGGTAAACCCATGGATACTGGTACTAGCTGGGGAGAGCCCATCAGTGATGCAGCAGGCACCTCTGGCTGGGGAAACGCTTCTCTTGGTCAACAGGCTGCAACTAAACCTGGTGAGTGCTTTCAGTGTCTCCTTTGAATAATGGTACTCAAAGAAGTTGAAATACCTCTCTAGAAGTTTGACATTTTTGAGGATTTTTTAACCTTTAACTACATGTCGAGCTGACTTGTGTGCTAAGGGTGGCCACTTGCTGCTGAAACATTAACCTGCTGGGTTTTTTTTCACAACCAGGGCCTAAATCTATGCAAGATAGTTGGTGTGGAGATGACATGCCATTGACAGGCAGTCGTCAGACCAGCTGGGAGGAAGAGGAGGATGTTGAGATTGGAATGTGGAACAGCAGTTCTTCACAAGAAGCTAACCCATCCCTCAATTGGCCACCATATGTGAAAAAAATGCCCACAAAGGTAATGGAACAAGGAGGCTGAGTTAAGGCTTTTGCACTGTTGTCATTTCTGAAGGCTAAGGCAGAGCAGGTTGCTGTGCTGAGTGGAGCATGGGGTGCCATTAAGCTCTAATCCTTATTCATAATGTTTTATGATGTAATTAAAGCAGTAGGTGGCAACCATCACCTGAGTATCACAGGAATTTCTTTCTCTTTTTAAGGGAATAATGAAAGGTGGAAATAAGCAAGATGAAACATGGATCAATCCATTCATTAAGCAATTCACAAATCTCAGTTTTTCAGTAAGTACTTGCCCCTGCCTGGCTTTGCTGCCTTCTGACAGTGCAGCTGGAATGCACAAAGATTAAAATGCTAACCTGCCTGGTGGTCGTTTTTCTTTTTCCTTCTGTTTCTCTCCCCCCTGTCACCCATCCTGCTTCTTTGCATTCTCATCACAAAATGACCTATTTATTGATGCAAATTGTTTCTGTAAACACTAGCCAGGTATTCATCCCATAGTCTGATGCCTTAGAGTTCCATGCCTGCTTGGTGAAGTTACCTGTTTTCAGTTGGGTAACAACTGAAGGGAGAGAATGATGTAAAATACCATCTGATTTGTCTTGATTTATTTTTTCTTGCAGGTTTGAATTATATTAGTATATATGAATCTTTGTTTTAACTGTTAAAAATATTATTAAATAATTGTGATTCATTTTATTACTTCAGAGAGAATCACCAGAAGAAACCATACAGAGCAATAAGATGGACATGTCTGGAGGTGAGAACAGGAGAACCTAGCGGGCCTTTTGCTTTCCTTTCCAGTCTCTCTCCTAGTTTATACACCTCTGTAAATTCTTTTTTTAAAAAACTATATATAATATAGTTATAGGCATATGTAGGTAAATAGATGTTTCCCTAAAGACAGGGAATACCCTTGTAGAGAAAAAAATTGTGCATGTGAGTAACAGCACACACCTGAGTCACCTGGCTGCTGTGGTGACTTCCCATCGATCAGACCAAGCTTATGAATATTAAGCTGACATGAAGGAATGTTTGCAGGGTGTGGTGAGTTTGTTCCTTGTAATGTCAGTGTCTAGATTGCATCTGGATGCCTTTGCTAATATGAACAGAAATGTTCCAGATACCACACTTGCTCATTGTGGTTCATTCTTGGAAACACATTTTTGGTTCTAAGAACTAAATTACTACTTGAAAAAAATTTTTAAAAACATTTAAACCTGAGTGTAAAATTACTTGTGAGCAGTTTTTTTTTATTTTAATCCATTGAGCATTAGTATTTCTCTGGCAAATAAATAGTGTAAGGCTTCAGCACATTAATAACAATATAACAATAGAATATTTAATTTAAAGTGATCATTATGTTGTAGTTTTTATTGTATTTGCACTCTTTTTGTTCAAGTTTAAAATTGGGTATTTTCACTTTTGGGCTTATAGTCTATTGTGTAAAGAAATAATTTGAATTTCAGATACTAATGGCAATGACAAGCCTCATTTAAATTACTTTGGTTTTTAAAAATTTGAATTTAAAACATTTGCTGGGGATGTAGTTCAGTTGCTCTGTGTGCAGTGAAGTATTTAATGGACTCCTTTACAACTCCTTATTTTTAACTTCTAGCTTGACTAGTGGAATTAATGATAGAATATAACTTAAAACTTGTTTTTAATAAACACAAATAACTTTGAATTAGTGTGGGTTGGCTTGGGTTTGGTTTTTGGCTAAATAGTTTCTTTCTTAACTGAATCAAAGCCAGTTAAGAACATATTACCCAAAGGCAGGGGATGTAGAGATCTGATAAAAATACTATTTCAAAGCCAAGACAACGCTTACGGCTGCTCCGAATGGCATCACAGCTGGAAACTCAAGTTTAAAAAATTACACTTTCTTGTCTTTAAGAGAAAGTTGCTGGTTTTGGGAAGCCTCGTAAATTCTGACGAGGCTTTGCCGAGTCCACGTTTGCAGTTCTCTGTAGCCATCAAGTTGCAGTGTGTCCCATCCCTTCCCAGTGAGCCCAGGCAGTTGGGAGCTCCGTGGGGGTTTCAGTTCCTGGTGCTTGGCTGGAGAGCAGCTGGTTCAGCCTCTGAGGGATCAGCTGCTGGGGTGGCTCTGGAGCTCCCACTGGGCCCTATTCACCTCTGCCCTCTTCCCAGGGTTGCTGCCGGATAAGCGGATGGAGATGGACAAGCACAGCCTCAGTGCTGGAGACTACACTCGTGTGGTTGGGAAAGGCCCTGGTTCTCGTCCTCAGATTTCCAAAGAGTCTTCCATGGATCGCAGTCCTTACTTTGATAAGGTAGGTCAGTGGTCTCATCTTGGTGGGCACTTCTAAACTTCTCTGACTGCGTTCTAAGTAGGCATCTGTGTTCTCCTTAGCTTTCTGCACTTAGTGGAGAGGGCAAGTAGGGCTTTCTAGTTAATCCGTAAGATCTATTTTGTGCTTTTTAACTTACTGATAAGTAATACTAAGCTCTTTCTGTAGCCCATTTGCTGTGCAAATGACTAACCTGATCTCTTTTGTTTTCTGCCTATTTCCTGCTGGTGCTGGACTGTCCTGTGACTCTTCCCTTCTGCTCCTGGCAATGGTTTCTCCTTTCTGCTTGCTTGCTGGCTGGTTGTTGTGCCTCGGTGTGTCTGTCCCATCAGGATGGCATTGTAGCAGACGAGTCCCAAAACATGCAGTTTATGTCCAATCAAAACATGAAGCTTCCCCCTTCAAATAATGCACTACCTAACCAAGCCCTTGGCTCCCTAGCAGGGCTGGGTATGCAAAACTTGAATTCTGTTAGACAGGTAAGGCTGTGTGCATATCCTTGGCATGTTACTTGTCAGCATTTAATACCTTTTGATATAAGATCGTGGCTCCCTGTGTGATTGACGTGTTTAACTGCTAATTCGAATGTACAGGGGTGGGAGGAGCAGCAGCAGAGGTTGTTGTCACTAACTGTCTGTCCTCTCCCCAGAATGGCAATCCCAGTATGTTTGGTGTTGGTAATATAGCAGCACAGCCCAGGAGCATGCAGCAGCCTCCAGCACAACCTCTTAATTCATCTCAGCCTAATCCACGTGCTCAAGTGCCTCCTCCATTACTATCCCCTCAGGTAACAGAGCACATAAAACTTTCTATGCATAAACTACCAAGATGCTGCTTCAGAAGGTCGTTTTCTGTTTATTGGTGTTGCTGATATTTACTCTGTAAATACTGCAAAGCATAATTAGCTTGATTAGTGTTTCAGAAACTAGGCAACTGTTAACCAGAGGCTCCAATATTGTACCTACCTCATAGCATTGTTCATATTGGTCTGTTTTGCAGGTTCCAGTATCATTACTGAAGTATGCACCAAACAACGGTGGCCTGAGCCCACTTTTTGGTCCACAACAGGTAGCCATGTTGAATCAACTGTCCCAGTTAAACCAGCTTTCTCAGATCTCCCAGTTACAGGTAAGCTAACAAAGCTAGTCGCTCTGAGTTCTGTTTGAAGTCTAAGTAGAGACTTAATGTCAGCCATGAACTGTTCTTAAAAAAACCACCACAAAACACTGTCTCCTAGCGGTTGTTGGCTCAGCAGCAAAAAGCCCAGAATCAAAGAAGCATGCCTTCTGGTGGTCGTCAGCAGCAGGAGCAGCAGGTAAAGACATACATTTATTACTAACTCTTCAACTATCCTTAAAAACTGTTCTTCATCCTGCGCTGCATTTCTTGCTATAAATTATATTAGAGTGTGCAAGAGTGAATGAGATTTTGACAAGCTTTAAAGGAGTGACTTAGTTCATGCTGGGGTTTTGCTGTGCTAAAATGCATGGAACCAAAGGTGTTTCATTGCCTTTCTTTAAAGGTGGAAAGGCTTTTGCCTACTTAAATTGTAACTCCTTTGTTTTTTCAAGGGTCGATCTCTCAGTATGCAGCAACAGATGATGCAACAGTCCCGTCAGCTTGATCCAAACCTGTTAATGAAGCAGCAAACTCCACCCTCTCAACAGCAGTCACTCCATCAACCCACCATGAAATCTTTCCTTGAGAATGTCATACCCCATACTACTCCTGAGCTTCAAAAAGGGCCATCACCAATAAATGCATTCAGCAGCTTCCCTATAGGTGGGTGTCTCACTATTAGTTTTATACAGTTAATGCTTATGACACACAACCTTCCTTTTCATGTTGCCTGCCTCTGAAACAATAGTGATTGCAATCTTGTTAGCACTTGGGATTTTAGTGGTAGTAGTAACTCTTGTCCAGTTACCTTTCTTCACCAAAGAACTGTTTTCACAAATACCCTCATTCCCAGGAATGACTGTATTTCAGTGCAAATTGCTTTACACTCTTATCTCTTTTTGTTTTCTTTTTATCCTCTGGGTCCCATTGTAGTTACATTCCTGGAGCTAAAGGACTTTTAGAAGTAGAATCCATACAAAGAATCCATTGATGTGGTCTCATTTCTTTGGATTCTAAAAACTTTTTAAATGAATCTAGAACTGCAATAGGTAGAACAGAATATTTAATTTCCCTTTTAGTGATATTGTCCAGGAAAGAAAGCTTTTAGCTTTGCATTTTTAAAGAATGGTTGTCATTTCAGGCAAAATGTCTGAATGTTTATAAATACAAACATCTCCTGTTTCTTTTTCCCAACATTTCCAGGCTTCTGTCCAATTTCTACTTCAGAAATTCCAGGCTTGTATATTTTCTCCTTACTTTAGGTCCCTTTTTAATGCTACCATATACTACTACAACTGTATACCATTTACCTCTTGTTCCTTATCCCTATTTTTTTCCTCCTCTTCAGTTTGCTTTTCTTTTACATTATTGTAATCGAGTCATTTCTGTTGGGCTGATTTGCTTTGCATTCTCATTGCCCTTTGTACAAAGATCTGTTGAGCAGACACTGCTGCTGAACTTGTGCTTGTAGGTGGGGTGTTCTGGAGCCAGGTGCAGGCTTTGCTGTTGCACTGCATGTGGCGTCCTGGAGTTCTGCTTTTGGCCACTCCCAAGTCCAGGCTGCTGCTTAATAGTTGCTGCTGATGATTGGCATCAAGATCTAACTACTGTTTTTGTGCAAAGGGCAAGGCCTAAAAATGAAATGTGTTTAGCTATTAGAGACACTATCTTAGGCCTAATTAAAGGGATATTTAACTTTCTTGCCAAACTTTGTGCTGAGTAACTGCACCCTGCCCATGTTAGGTTCCTTTCTGCTTCATTTCTTGACTTGTTGTATACTGTTGTTAAATAGCTGCTTTCTCACCTCAGTCCTTGCCACATTCCAGGAACCTGCAGTATACCTAAGACTGCTTTGAGATCCCTCAGGAATCTGCTACAGTATGTGTAAGAATTTTTTGGGATCCCTTTGGAGTAGCACAGTGTAGTGATAGAAGCAAGTGGAGCCACACTTAGTCCACCAGTAAAAGGTTTAAGGCTAGAAATAGTAGGTTGCTGAAATTTCTTCACCCTTTAGTGAAAAACTGAGTCAAGAGGAGTACTGGTAGTATCTTCCAAGTGCACAAAGTTCAGTGGGATAGTTCATGTGAGGAGGAGTTGAACTTGCCAAGTTGTCTTCTGGAAAATCCTGCAGGTATGTTATTTTCTCCATGTTCTAATCAGTGTTAGGAGACCTGGCAGCAGCAGCTGGGAGGCCCCGTTATATCCTGGGGAGCTGGATTTGTCAAGATGGACTAGACCCTGGTTCATCAAAACCAGAGGTTGGGGCAGGTGGGGAATGTGCTGCAGTCACATCCCAATTCACCTATAGAATGAAGTAGTTCTAATATTAAAAATAACTTTTTCTGCCAAATAGTGACTATAGCTGAACAATATGAAATCTTCCAAAACTGGAAATGAAAAATTACTTCTGGGAAGACAGTTTAAATTGTAGGTTCTGTCCAGGGACTGATGTTTCAAGTACAGAGATATGGATGGGGATCAGTGCCTGTCACGGGGCTGGCATTAACCATGTCAGCTGCCTAAGTGCCAGCTTGGGGTCTTTCTGACCCTTCCTTTGGAGGTCTGTCTTCTGGAAGCTTCTTCTGAGTTAGTCAAAGGGTTATTGATGTGCACAGGTTGTTGCTCTGACAACAACCAAATGCAGGAGGGAAAGGTGTCAGAAACTGGATTGGTTTGACTTTCCCTTTTTTCTGTTTCAGCTATTGATAGTTGTATTTCTTAAAACTGGGTTGTCCTGTTACAAGGGACTTTCTCTGAAGCTTTTCAAGGGGCTGCTTTTCTGGCATCAACATCTATTCATGCCCTTACAAAAAACAAATTAAAAAACCAAGAAGCAAACCAGCCTCTATGTTGCACTGAATGTTGACTTAGGAACAAAATTAAGCAGTGGTTTCCAGTGCTGAGTGGAGATGTTTCTAGTAGAGATTTGAAAAGTTCCCTGTGTGGCTCTGGCCCTAAGTTAAGATGCTATAATGGATTGTTTTCAGAAGTATATAGGTCCAAAGGACTGCAAATGTAATCAGGTGTGGTTGGGAGCCAAGGATCCTGTTGTCCAAGCCCAGAACAGGGTCTCACAGGGTTTGGGCTGATTTGAGCTAGCATGGTGTTGGATCTCAGGCAGTTTTGACATCAGATTACAACAGGGAAGACAAGTTCTGTTTGGTTTATCTTGCTGCAGTTTTAATATTCAGTGTGAGCAGGAAAAATGGGGTGGTGAGTGGTGTTCGTTGTGCAGTCCCACACCAAGTTCTTCTGGGCTGTGCTGGTGTGTTCAGCTGCTGAAGGTGTGCTGAGAGCAGTCCAATTAAGGGTGGGAATGAGGTGGTAACTGAGTACCAGTGCATAACTGCTTCTGAACAGGGAGGTGTGTGGACACACCCTCCTGGGAAAAGTGTCTTCTAGAAGTGAGCAGCTCTTCCAAACAGAGTGCTTGGTGCAGGTGGGATGGGTGGTGGTGCTGGGGCTAGGCTGATGTTAGAAATGCCACTTTTTTCTTAGATGTTCACATTTTAGTTTCTTTAACTTCCTCAGTGGCTTCTTCCACTGACATCTTTGCATGAAGACATGAGCTGAGAACTTGAGAGTGCTGTGCATTGCTTAGCTTCTGTCTGTAGCAGATCCCCTGTACAAGATGCTAGAATGTTTCTCAAAAACAGAGACTTGGAAGCATGAAATGACCATAGTAGTATGCTCTTAAATGTTTTTAAGGCAATAATAGTAATTACCAGAAGAAAAGTATTTAGCCTGTATTTCATACGCTCTCTGTGTTTTTAGGAATGAACTCAAACTTGAATGTAAACATGGATATGAGCAGTATTAAAGAGCCACAATCCCGACTGAGGAAATGGACTACAGTAGACAGCATTTCTGTGAACACATCCTTAGATCAAAACTCCAGCAAACATGGTATGTCAGGCGTGTCCTTAAGTAGCATTTGACATTACCCATCAGGTTCTCACGTTCTCTCTATAAAATGCAGGTTTGCTATTTTTAGGCCTGTAGTTGTAGCTGCTGTGTTGTTTGTAGCTGTCAGGGTTTGTGTTGTCTCTGCCAAAGTTGCTGCGTGTCTTGTACAGCAGCCCGGAGCTTGCCTGGATGGTTTTACTTGCAGGAGTGATACTGTGATTCAGTAGAAACATTGTGAAAAAGTCCTTTTTTAACCAGACTTTTCTCTAAGTGTGACTTTTACTACTAGCTTTACCTCAATCTGGATTGGAAGACTTCATTTTTATGGTTTTTTTTAAACAAAAAGCTTTGTTTTCTAACTTTCTTTCCTTCTACCTTGCTGTGCTTAAGGTGGCATTCTGGTCATGTCTGACATGTTCAGTTACAGGTTATGGTTATCAATGTGTACATTTGCTTGCTAAAAATGGGGAGAGCTTAGAAAGGATAGACTAATACCATTGCTGTACTTCATTTTAGAGGAGGCAGACTGGGTTGCTTCATATTTCACTCCAGTCATTAGGATTCATATGACATTTCCACTGTTTCAGTTGCTTGAAATCCCATCCAGAGTCTGTAGCACAAAGGTTCTGTGTCTAAAGATGGCTGTGAAATGTCTCCAGTCTCCTGTTACTGTTCAGTCTTCAGATTGTTAGGGTATTTTTAGATTTGTCAGCTGTTTTACTACTATGAAATAACCTGCTACCATGCACATCTAGTGGAGCTATCCTGCCACTGCACTTCTGGGCTGCTTCCCGTTGTCACTTTAGCTGTAGGTTATGTTTTCTGGGTAGTATTGGGAATTACATTATTTGAACTCTGTTGTGGTGAATCACCAGTAAAGGTCACATATTCCCTCAGAACTGTAGAATATCTTTGGCTTGGCTGTGTAATAATTTTTAAACTTCTTACAGGATGTGTGCAGAATCAAATACAGTCCTTTTGTTCCTTACTCTGCCTCCAGCAATTTTTTTTTTCCCCCCTCTCCCAGAAATATGAATAGAATTTACAGAAATTTGCAGTAGCTGAAGATCCTTCAGATTTTGTAGATGTTTCTTCCAAGAGCCCTCCTATCACAGAGTATATTCCTACCCCTCTTTTCCAGCTGGAGCCCCACAGAGTGCTCTTACCTTCTTGAATTAATATTTTACTTACATTTAATAAGTATACTATTATAATGTGGTGGTTTCTTGGGACTTTATTCATACTGTTTTCTGCTAAGTTACTCAGAGACATTTCATTTTAGTGTATGTAATCCTGTATGACTTCCCATACAACTTGACCTGCTGTGTATTCCATGAGTGCTTTACATGGGAGTGTTTTAATATAGATAAGTATGTGAAAATTGGCTGCATGCAATGTTTGATGTCTTTTTTTTTTTTTTCCCCTTTAAATTAGGTGCTATTTCAAGTGGTTTTAGGCTGGAAGATTCTCCGTTTGTTCCATATGACTTTATGAACAGCAGTAACTCACCAGCCAGCCCCCCTGGCTCCATTGGGGATGGCTGGCCCCGTGCCAAATCGCCTAATGGCTCCAGCAGTGTTAATTGGCCACCAGGTACCCCCTGGGGGGGCTGGGGATGCTGCCCTGTTCCTGGGGCACTGCACCTTCAGGGGGTGGGAGGAACTGCTTACCAAAGCATTAGGGGTGTTTTTAGTAGATGGAAGTTGGGAGCATTAGTTTTATAGTACCAAGAGAAGGGTGTCTCCCTGCTTTGAGACTTCACCCCAGTGAGACACGGCCAGAAAAACTAGAAATTAAGTGACTTTAGTCTTTGTTTCACCTTATTATGTCAACTAAATTCTTAAAAGGTTATGATTTTTTGTTCATTCAGAGATGTGTTGTTTACCCTGCTGCTTCCTGTTAAAGATAATAATGAAAAAAATATAAATGGCCTTCTTTTCTGAACGTCTGTTCCTAGAGTTTCGTCCTGGTGAGCCATGGAAAGGTTATCCAAACATCGACCCTGAAACTGACCCTTACGTCACTCCTGGCAGTGTCATCAACAATCTGTCAGTTAACACTGTGCGGGAAGTTGACCACCTCAGGGACAGGAACACTGGTATGTTCAGATGCTGCCTTCCCTCTTACTCGTGTGCTGAGCTTTCCACAGCCACACAGAGAGTCTGTTTACTTGGAGATGTTTGCTCATCTCCTTGTTTATCTTTGGTGTTGTGGATTTTGGTGCTGAAAAGCTCATCCTTGGCTCAAGCCCTGCTGCTTGATGCAGTGCAACAGCTATTCCAAGAATGTGGGCAGAGTGAGGAGCACTGGGCTGCATTCTGATGTAACTGCACGGGGAGACAGGGAGTTGGAAAGCAGGCAGCAGAGCCTGCCAGCCCAGCCACTGCAGCAGTGTGACCAGCCCTGCTGGCAGAGCAGCTCCCTGCTGTGGAGTGGTCTGCCACCCCCTGCCTTGGGTGAGAGCTGAGAAGAGGGCAGGAGATCCCTTCTCTGCCTGTGCAGATGTGTCCAGTCTGGACTACAAGTTGTGCCTTTTAATTTTATTGCATTTGTGATGCACTGTGGTGTGACTGATTTGTGTCTTGACAGGGTCATCCTCATCTTTGAACACCACGCTGCCTTCAACTAGTGCCTGGTCATCCATTCGTGCCTCCAACTACAATGTTTCCCTCAGCAGTACAGCACAAAGCACTTCAGGTGAGGTCTTCTTGTGTTGCTCTGAGAGTTTCTTCCCCTTCACTGGGTTCAGAGGGATACTATATGTTAATAAAAAGTAGTCCTGAGGTCTTGTCTGAATGGGAAGTTCACTAATCAGCTATTTTGATTTTACTGTAATTTAGAAGCTTTTATTTGTAGCTGCTGCAGTTACTGTATTTAGCAGTTCCAGCAGCCTAGTGATTGTGGTTGTCTTTTTGTCTTTTAGTAGCCAGAAACAGTGATTCCAAATCAACATGGTCTCCTGGATCAGTCACTAACACCTCTCTGGCTCATGAGCTGTGGAAGGTCCCTTTGCCACCTAAAAGCATCACTGCTCCGTCCCGCCCACCTCCAGGGCTAACAGGCCAGAAGCCACCGTTGTCCACTTGGGATAATTCCCTTCGTTTGGGTGGAGGATGGGGAAGTTCTGATGCCAGATATACCCCTGGTGAGGATGTCTTTTTGTGTACAGAGCTTTTCTGTGTGGTATCAAGTTGGGGAGCTTCCTGTGCATTTGGCTGGGGAATCTGTCGCTGTTAACATCTGTACTGCTTGTCTTGCCAAGAGCAAGAGCTGGTCTGTACATCCTGGGCTGCAGCGTTTGTACTGAATAGATCTGGGGGGCTGGGGGTGTGTGCAGCAGTGGCAGGGGTGGCACTGGGGGTCTTTCCATCCTTAGTGTGAACCATCTCTGCAAGTACTTGCCGAGTTTGGCACCTGTGCAGCTGAGTGCAGTTGCCTGCTAAGCATTGTTCAGAGGGGCTCATGAATTGGATCCCAGCAGGGACTCCCCAGACAGAGTGATTCTGAGCTTGCAGCAAGAGTCAAGACAAATACCTTTGTATTTTTGCTTGTTATGATTCTCTAACAGCAATGTAGCTACATTGACAGTATTTACATAATAAAAAGGCTTCAGATAGTAAATACAATTAGTAGATATGTATTTTAAATAGGCTGCCATCCCAAACTAGCCTTCTAATGGTTTTAAGCTTGGAAAAGATTAGTGCTGTTTGAGTTTTTTTTCTCGGTTGTGAACGTTCCTGCCAGCTCCTCATGCTGCTGCTGGTACCTGCTGCTGGTACCTGCTGCTGGTACCTGCTGCTCACTGTGGCAGAGCACTGACTCCTTTGTTCTCCATCATTCAGGGTCAAGATGGG